GAGGACAACTCCGGGTTCTGTGCACAATAAACCCCTCATTCGGGTGCCTTCTGTCTCTCTCCTTACGACGTGGGATTTGGACTGATGGTTGTGGCGCTCTGAACACAGACATACACACAGCTGTGCCGCTACACATCTACTTTGTAGCTGGTTATAGGGGCAATATGCACGCCATGCACAACTTGCCACCCACTACATGTGCAGTGCAACAATAAAGGCCGCATTTAGGAAGAGCCATTGCAACCTAAACTCAGCTCTCAGGAGACCGAATTATTCCGTCGTTTGGCAACCTTCCGAGCCAGGACTCTTAGCGTGCCAGATTTATTATAGGGAGGCATGTTATGTTTGAACGAGGTGCCGCCGGTGAGTTTACATTTAGTCAGGAAGGGAAGGTAATTTCAAGCAATGGGAACGGTGAATAATAAGTTATGTCTACAGTCACACTTAATTTCAGGGTGTTTTGGAGTTTCCATCCACCCAGGGGTCCTACACCGTATCGTTACCGCACTATCAATAGTAGCTCGTGACGCGTTTGACCGAACTTTGTCGTGCGGCAGAATTCGTCCATCGGCGTTTGTCCGTTTTGGTTGTTGGTGGTTACTTTTGTGTGCGATTTCCTTGCGCTGAAAATACGGTACTTTTATGTGATTTACCAGCTGCAAAAGGAATAAGGCATGTTTTCCCTTGCAGACTGCCATGTAGTCAGTGGGCTTTTCTTCACGCACATGTAATTGCTATCGTCTTTAGATTGACACGTAATGTTCTGCACGCGACCATATTCGAATCAAAGTTAGACTTTGTCCCCTCGAATTTTCGCTATTTAGTACGCTGGCGAGTACATTTGCTGGCAGTTATATGGTGGCCAAGCATGACAACGAATTTCGGACCGGAGGGGAGCGGTTGCCGCGACTGGAATTATCTGAGTGACAGAAGACGTTATCAGAGGCCGAAAACATGTTCGATGATGACGATGACTGACTTTCGTGTGAGCATCCGCTATGGAACTTCAAGAACCCTGGCAATTACCTGGACCGATAATGTTGCAATCCACTTTACCACAATAGGTAACTAGATGTCTTAGGAAGGTGATGCTGCGAAAGCACTCCAGCCTGACTGTAATATCAGCGGTTTGAAGCGTTGAAATCCATAAATTTTTTGTCAAGACGCTGCCCTGATTTTGACTAGGCGCAATTTTGGTTAAGAGTCTGGCAATTCCGCTGTACGGAGGGTCGGCAATTCCCAACAGTCAGCGTGAGTTGTTAGTAGGTCGGCCACATCCGCCGGCTGTTCGGCTTCTCCTGGTGGCAGGCTCTTTGGCATTAGCAAGAAATACTAGCCATGCAGGTCAGCAACGGGGATCTACAAAACACAGTACGCGGCGGATAACCAGTCATGTGCCCGTGGACCGTGTCAGTAACGCTTTTTTGCAGGTGAAAAAGAACAGTCAGCGCACTGGCTGGTCAAGTTCGCTGGAAAATGGCGCTTGTAAACAGCCATATATGTGACTTGTTCGACAGGTCCTATATGCAGAAGGAGAATGCACCCCCCCGAACCGTAGACAGTGGTGACTGGCTGCACTGTCTTCTAGTTACTTCCTCACCTTCGCGAACTAGCAACCAGGGGCTAACGTCGTTCTGACACGCGAAAATGATGCTAGGTAATAGTAAATCGACGCCTTATTTATGAGCTTCAGCCCCAAAACCAATTCAGCACAGGAGCCAGAAGACCCGGAATCCCTCATTTCCATGGGTGACTTTCTTCTCAACTTCCACATGAGAATTTTAACACTTTCTCACGTATTGCCCCTCATTTTCAATGCGCATTTTAAACTAACGAGTCGCGAGATCTAGGCACTGATTTTGATCCTTCTCGGACAACAGAAAGACATTGTTGGCCGAATTCAATCATATGCAGTAGCTGGCCTATCTCATTAAAGGTTATTCGAAGATTTAAAATGTGTTTCTGATTAGAAAGGATTACTTAAGTGGGTTATGTTGATTCTCGTGCAGCATAATTTTAAAATATTTTAGTTAGTTTAGAATGCCGGCTTTCGAATGTGTAACTTTCCGGAGTCTGCAAAAACCATGTCCAGTAAAAAACGATAACTTTGGCAGTATGAATTCTTCACATTTATTTTCGACACCTTTATAAATTCAGATATCTTCTACGGAAGGCGGTACCAAGCCACACGCTTGGTAGCAAATTCCGCCTTCTTCAAATTTTATGCCTGAAGAAGGGATATCTCTCGACCTAGGGATTTTTTAATCATAAGATTTTTAAGACCATTCATAGAATATCGTGTTCGCCCGTCTACTAATGTTGTTTGTAGAGCATAAAGCGTTGTCCATACTCATTCCATATTTTATGAGCCTATCTTCTTAATAGCCTAGGGAGGTGTATAATCTTTCTTACACGAGGGCCTACGGAAAAAGCATATGGCGGATGAGACCAAAAAGGGTCTTATCGAAACCGGGAGACACGCTTCCCTAAAGCGTAAGATATGAAGACACGATTTGCTACCAACTCAGTACACGAAATAATATTTCTGCTCATGTTTTCTATAAGATATATCTGAACCAGTATAGGCATCAAAAATCCACGTGAAGAATTCCTACCGCTTAGGCAGTCCTTTATCATGTAGCTTTTGTCGGCGGCCGGAACGAAACCCATTCAGAAGTCGGCATCCTGAGGTGAGGTGAATAGTGTGAGACTATGCTGCTTGATAATTAATATTACGACCCCAAGTAACTTTTCCTAGTCGAAAACACACCTCAAAACTGCAGCGGACATTTCATGAGATTGGCCAGCTGCCGTAACCAGGTACTTCCTCCCGACCTTTGAAACAGCTAGCATCCACAGAAGAATACCAAGCTGGCTGTGGGGGTGTCACCGCAGTCTTAGATTCCATGACAAACTAAAACATACCTGTAATTATTTACCATACACAGTCCTATACTGATGGCTGCCCGTCGGCGGTTCGTTAATATTGCGCGGTTATTCCGCAGTAGCTGATGGATTTCAGCTCAAATATCCATATCAAATCCTGGCCGTGCTTGAAAAGGCCTGTTCGGAGGACTTATCCCAAGTTCGCGCATTAATTCCCTCGTAAAGTCAATCTAATACCCCGTTAGTCCTTGCGTTGTTCCGACAAATGATGAACTCGAGACTCCCCTCCCAGAGTGATGTATGTTCAGACCTCTGAAAATGTTCGATAAGCAACCATCAGTGTATCGCTCAGGGCCTCGTTCGGCAAGGCGACTGCTCCCGCATTTTCTCTGTTACGAACAGCAATCGATTAAAGGAATTTCCGATTTCCTTCTAGTGTCTCTAGTAGCCCGGATATCCGATCGTGACGGGCAGCATCCACAACTTGCCTACTTGACGACTGCAGTCGTAACTCGCGCACTAATTGGCCTATGGAGAAGCGGGCCGAAAAGCCGACCGACTGCCAATAGATCCTTACTGGATCTACGTCTCCCAATCATTTTGTGAAATCGCACATCGGTGTCTACACGGCACCCACGAACTTTGCTGTATTTTTCAGTTGCCCTGTCACTGCCAGCCTTCGTGTTTATGTAAGAATGCAAACTACAGAGGGAACCCGTTGCTGGGCGAAGGGCTGGTGACTGATTAGCACTCGTCACGCCCACACCAACTCCCGACCACGTTAACGGTATCCATCCTGAGCGCAACGAAGAGCACAGCGCTGCAGCACAAACGTTAGGAGCGCACTAGAGAGCGGTAGTTATTCCTAACTAGTGTACTTCGAGCACTTTCCTGCCGGCGTTTTGAGGGCTTGACGAGGAGAACCAACTATGCGGGAACAATGATGGGCTGTCACCGCAAAAACATAGGTCCGCAGATACGATGCAGCCGCAGCAACACCAATCCAGAAACTTTTCCCAGCAACCCACAAACTGCGAGCTACTGCAATGTCCTACTCTCCTGACTCCAGCCGCGGATGCCATACATCACTAGAATCAGATGTTAGAGCTTTACGGCAGAAAGACCCCTGACAAATGATTTGGTGCGCGCGAGGCCAGTCTTCAGACCTCTGCAGGAGACAGTGCGACACAACCTATAAAAAGTGCCCGCACCAGTTACGAGACTACGCCGACTATGGTACAGCCTACGCGACCGGTCAAAAAAAAACTACTGAAACCCAAAGCCCATGCATATCCAAGGCATGTGCTAGTTCCTTTCGGCAATCCTGTTAGCGCGGCGTCACTGATAACAGTCGAGGCAATTGGATGGCAGTCAGTGCGGCCAGGGTGGTCAAATAGTCCCCTTGGAGGCACTGGCCGATAACTCACGCCACACTTTGCGCATACAACTGCTAGTTAAGCGCCCTTCCAGTCAGTCAGAAGAACGGAACTAGCAAACACATACTTTCAAGCAAGTATCATTAAAATCAGATTTCCCACCGCTGGATCGGCAAGAAGTAGAGCGCAGCGAAGCTCCACAATAAAATTTATTGAAACAGAAGAGTAACAAGTCATAGCGAACAAACCCTGGACATGAAATATAAAATACACTGATGCAACAAATCCCGTATCAGTAGAATACCATCTAGCAAGACAGACCTATGGAAATACATCCGCAGAGGCGGCGGACAGGCGCCCCCTAAGGCCTGAATAACTCGACCACCTATCCGTCTCAGGAGGCACTTGGCAAGGCCCAAAGCAGTGTTCCTCGTCAACTGCGACAGGCCATGTCAAGACCAGAATTCACCACTAAGACTTACTGTTGGATAATACACATTCCAGAGCCATAAACCGTATTAATTCTGTGGAATTGACATTACTTACTGCTAGAAGGAAAATGTATGCCTGTGTGCCATCGGAATATGACAAGCCGGCAAGCCTATTAGAGTTTAACCAACACGGCCATTTGACACGGGCGCACAAAGTGCTACTCATTTTACCGACCCTTGGTGGGATGGAAGGCTGAGTGGACCTTGGCGGCAAGGAACCGCCGGTAACCGGAAAATATTTATTGTCTCAATTATTAACGACAATCTCGCCAGAGTTGATCTTCTCAATCACTGCTTGCGGGGTCTCGCCATCGATTGTGCAGCCGACCGAACGCGCAGTGCCTACGGGAAGGTTAAGCCAAAATACGAACGCCTACCCAACACCTCCTTGACGGTCCCTGCTAGGTCACGAGCAAGACTTCGTGGTCGCATTGTCTTCGCAACCTCGAGGACATCATCAAAAGTTATGCTGCCGTTGTGTTTGATATTTTTAACCTTCTTGCGATCTCGGACGGGTTCTTTGAGGGCTTTAATGAGCAGCGATGAGGCGGTAGGCACAAAGGACACAGTTGCTTGGCGATTCTGAATAGTAAGTTTCACCGTGAGTCGCAGCCCCTTCATGTCTTGGGTTTCTTTGGCGATATCTTCAGCCACCTTCTTAGGAGCCAAGCCCAGGGGACCGAGTTTTGGCGCCAGAGATGAGGTTGCAGCGACCTCGCCACCCGTTACTCTCAAGTAAACTAAAAACGTCATTGTTTGCAAATGAGTTTACCGACGGTCACAGCGGTAGGATCGATCTTCGGGGCCATGTCGAACAGACGTCAGCAGAGCGTGCTAGCAGAAACAACCGCGCCGACTCTTAAACTGCGCAGACAAACAAGCTACATGGTCAAGGTCGCCCTTATCCTCTAGTATCAAAAAACTGCTAACAGATAGTATTCTGCAGACTGATAAATTCTAGATTACAGATTGATAATTTTCCTGCCATCCCTCCTACAGTCTGATCGATCAGGAGTAAATTTTGTAACACCTCGAGACGTCAATCCAAAAACATAACTGGGATTGGAAAACACCTAGGGGATTGTAATGGCAGACAGAAAAAGTGAAGAATGACCGAAAATTCGAAGACATCTAGATATGTCAGTATTTCTTGGCCATATTCTTTCGTGCATGATAAATTTACATCTCGGATGTAGGGTGCCGAGATATGACTTACGTAAGCCTTCCTCTTGGCTCAGACTGACAATAAAACGAGGATGCACGTTTGCCATGTTCTAATTCCTCTCTGAGACCCGCATGTACTGGACCGGTTATGGAAATCGTCACGGCGAACAATAACGGTTATTTGTATCCGATCGCCAAACACATTACAGAAATAGGAACTTCGTCATTCGACCATGTCCCGCTAAGTTAAAAAAAATTGTGACCTTTAAAGACGTGAAGTGCGGAAGTGCAGGTTGTGCGGAATGTTTAAATATTATGCAGAAAGACTAAGATGCTAAAGCGGGGATAAATACCCCGAGCATCTTAATCCTTTCGGCACTCGATCGACCGAAGGAAGCGGGATCAGAACCTCAATATATGATTCAAAAGGATTCTTTCCTGAAACATGCAAAACGTCAATTATCATTCCCGTCTTCAAGTCTGGATCTCGGTCCGATGTTAATAACTATCGGGGCTCGCACAAAACACCGTCTCTAGCAAAGCTTCTTGAAAGGATTATTTTCAATGCAATTCTTGACTTCTGTCTAGCTAATCGGCTTCTGAGCTCTAGTCAACATGGTTTTTTACCTGAACGATCCTGCGAAACATGTCACTTGGCTTTTCTTAATCTAATTACTTCTCTTCGTAATGAGCGGCAGTCAGTGGTAGTTATCTACTTTCATCTTAGCAAAGCCTTTGACAAGGTGCCCCATAGACGTCTTTTAGAAAAATTGGAAGCTCTCGGCATCCGGCCGCCTCTACTTGACTTCATTAGGTCCTATCTGTCCAACCGATATCAGAAAGTCATGGTCGGTAATAGCTACTCGACACCTCACTCGATCACGAGTGGCGTACTTCAAGACACGGTTCTGGGTCCGCTAATCTTCCTTCTTTACATTAGTGATATTTGGAATTAGCTAGGAAATTCGCAAACTTTTACTTATGCCGATGACCTCAAGTGCGTTTACTCATACTTTAAGGACACCGCAAACATTTGTGTTGAAAAAATTAATGTAGATTTACTACGCTTAAGCAGATGGGGTTCGACATGGCAGATGGAGTTTTCATCATCCAAGTGAAGTTTCATGTCTTTTGGTCCTGCCAAACTTCCTAGTGCCATAATTTTTCAGAATAACCCACTCTCAAAATGCCTCACCATAAAGGACCTTGGTCTAAGTTATACAAAGAAGCTTGCAGATAGAATCTATGCCAAAGCCGCGCATATATGTGGATTCATATCGCATAATTTTTCCCTTCCGGAAATGAAGCTAAGACTTTATCAAATGTTGGTTCTTCCAGTCCTCGAGTACTGCTGTACTTTCTTTGGCTTAATGAACCACTGCTACACGAAACAAAATCGAAAATGTTCAGATAGTTTTACCTCGAAACTGTTCTCTCAAGTCTCACCCAGTTTTCCTTATACTCAGAGATGTCAGCTGGCGAACATTAAGTTTTTGTGGGTTAGAAGACTCGAAGCTGGCCTTTGCTTCCTTTTTCGCATCAACTCTAGCTCCAATCTTCCGCCAATTGATACTCTCAATCCGAGAGATCGGTCTTATGCCATGCGCAACTCCGCCATGGTGATTCCGCCGCCTCTTTGCACTACATCTAAGCGCTCCCTCTTCTTTGCTTCCAAATATGCCTTCCTTTGGAATAATCTTCCGCCTGAAATTAGATTATCACCTAAGTTACTGGTATTCTAGTCGAAATCACGTAAACACCTTACACCGGAAAGCATAAACGCACTGTTAACGGTCTCATTCCCGAACACTCAGCTTCTTGACTTTGAGAAGGATTCTCCTGGGATTTAGTGGTAGATCAAGTGG